ACCTTGACTTTTCCATCTGCAGACTCTAAGAACGTGCAGTCTAAGCTGCCAGGCCACAGTATTCAGCTAGAGTAGCCCAAGCTGACTGAGCCAGGGCTGCCCCAAGGGGCTGCGGTGGGGTCAGGGGCCAATTTCTGCAATGGACACTATTAGATACCATGACACTCCCGCTCTGCAACAAACAGGCAGAGATGGTACATACACACACACACACACACACACACACACACACACTCCAATCATCCTCCTTTAGTGCATAGAAAGAACAAAGGAAGAGAAACAGAGTCTAAAACAAAGCGAACGGCACACTGATTGTTTCCTACCATCTGCACACGAGGCATGCCCAGAATTTCTGATTGTCAGTTCAGGTTCAAGGATGCCTGTTGCAAAATGAGCCTTCTCCCAACTCACTAGGACAGAAAGCCTCAAGCCAGAGTGAGGTACTCATTTGTGGATCTCTGAAGTAGTTATTCTTCCTAGTCAAACTGGATCCCCATCACATATTCGGGCACATGATTCCAACACTCAGCCCTTTGTCCTAATGTGAGTTGTCCAGTTTGTTAAGCACCTGTCCTGCATATTTGAGGCCCCACAGTCAAGTCCTACTGAAATGCACAGGCTGAGGGAGGCCAGCTCTGACACCACAGAGAGGTGGGGATTGTGATGCGGCCGCCATATCATAACAGTAGGCCAAGGATGGCAGAGCTGGTGTCAGTCCAAGATGATGAAATGGAAGCTCTGTCGAGTTACATGGCCACGGTCAGAGGAGCAGGAAGAGCAGATCTCGGCACAAACACTGACCTGAAAGTCCATGGTTTTACCTTTTAAGGAGGAGGTAGGAATTGAGAGAGAGAATTTAGGGATCTGTGTGTTTCACTGGGAATATTATTCCACCCTCATCTGCTTTCTCCTCTCACTGAAATGTATTGTTTCCTTCAAGTTTGAATGTAAGCAAAAAGCCCTCATACTATATAACAGTAACATTAACAGTTACAGTAACTTTCATCACTGGAAATCACAGCTATTTTCATATCACACTGTTATAGGGCAGGGAGGGGGCACCCCAGAACCCCAAAACCTGTCCATTCTAAATAAATTCTGCCATCTGCCACATCAAGACAAAACATACTCTAGAGTGTAAAACCTTTAATGGGGGAGGGAAACTGAACCTTCCCTTTTCCTGGGGACCACCCTGTTACAACATCATAATTATTACAAATATTGAAAAATGTCACTTTGACTTTTGGTCGTTACTAAACTCTCTGCTAGTTCTTGTTATCCGATGTTTCACTATAACACAAAGACTTCTTTGAATTATTTGATGACTACGTTTAACTGGTTTATTTTTATTTTTATAATGCACATTTAAGAATATGATATATATTATAGTATTCCTGAGTAGCAAAAAGATCCATGGGACAAAAATGGATTAGCATCTTGGAAGTGGAGGGTTTTGCAGGAAAGACACCAGGAAAAGCTCACGAAGCTGGGGGGCAGGAGGCCAAATGTATGTGTGTGTAGGTAGCAGCAGTGAATGACAGGCTTTGGTGGGCTGGACCACCAACCTGTCCTCAAATTCCTTGACTAATAATCTGGCATAAAGGTAATATAAAATGTTTTCTTATTGTGCCCACACCTAGATGGTGTTGTCTACCAGCAGCCCCAGAGCAATCTACAGCTGGTGTTTAGAACTCTAACTAGACGATCAACAAAATTTCTCCATCATAAGCCCATTTAAGTCCCCAGGTAGAATTTAGGCTTTCTGTCCCTTCCTGGGTCTGTGACCAGATATTTTTTATTCAATAAACTTCAGTTTGAATGTCTGTGCTTCACCATACCTTGGGGATTTATTTTTATTTTACTATTTTTATTGAGGTAACAATGGTATATACAACATTGCATGTGATTTGGGGGTGTAGGTTCATGCTCCTCAGATGCGTGTTACCACACCCAAGACACCCACCATACTAGACCATTGGGCCACCTCCCCACATGCTCCTCTGTTTCACCCCTCATCCCCTACTCTCTCTCTCTGGTGGCCTCATTGCTATATTCAGATATCTAGGATTTGTTTTGGTTTAGCTCTTCTGTCCCTTTGCTTTGTTTCTTTATATTTCCCATATGACTGAAACTATCCAATATTTGGCTCTCCTTCTAACTTACTTCACTTAGCATAACCCCCTCCAATCCTATCCCTATTGTTGCAGATGGCGAGTTAATCCTTTTTTATAGCTGAGCAGTAGTATATACCACATCTTCTTAATCTACTCATCCGTCATTGGGCTGGGTCTATAACTTGGTTATTATAAGTAGTGCTACAATGAACAAAGGAGAGCAGATACCCCTTCAAACTAGTGCTGTTGTATCCTTTGGGTAGATACTTTGGAGTGGGATTGCTGGCTCACACAGTGGATCTATTTTTAAAATTTTGAGACACCTACATTCCCACCAACAGTTTCTAAGTTTCCCTTTTCTTCATACTCTTGCCCATACTTGTCATTTCTGGTCTTGGGATATGCATCATTCTCCCAGGAGTGAGGTGGTGCCTTACTGTAGTTCTGATTTGCACTTCACTGATAGATGTGATAATCAGCATTTTTTCATGCACCTGTTGTCCATCTGCATGTCCTCTTTGAAAAAGTATCCATTTAGCTCCTCTCCCTACAAAGAACTCATATAATTCAACAACCAGAAAACAAATAGCCCAATTAAACAATTGCTTGATGTGTTTTCATCTCTCTCCAAAGTCATTAGCATCTTAACTGAGGTCTTCAAACACTATAAAGCAAGGTCAAAATCTCAACTACTCCCATGGGCTATGCAGATGATGTAAGTAAGTGGGGATGAAACCAACTGGATAGGGATCTTTCTGACACTTTGCAGTGTACTCTGGGGTTTGCCAAAGTCCTTCCTCTGTTCTCCACATTTTCTGGAAACTGAGTCTCTGCTGGCCCTATTGGCATGATGACCAGCATTTCCAGAACTTGCAGTCTTCCAATAGAAACCAGTATCCCAGATTCATATAGCATCTATTTTCATTCTTAAATGTCTTGAATTAAATTCACCAAGCACTTGAGCTGGCTTTGGCTTCATAATGCATGTACCACGGAGATATGTCTAACGCCGAGGGTGGATTGTTTTGATGGTGTTCTTCCCAGTTCCCTCCAGGGTACAATAGCAACTGACAGTGGTCTTTCGCATGCATGATCATATTTGTGTTTCAGAGTTGGAGCAAGTATTAAAGGTTCCAGTCTATAGATCAAATACTGAGGCTCAGAGTGGTTACCTGATACAGCCAACATCACAGAGCCAGAGGGGAGCTGAGCTGGTTGGTTCACATTTCAAGTCTCAGTTGGTCTCACTATCTAACACACTGCTGGGAGGTCAATTAAGTACCACCCCTGGCTTGAGCCCACTGTTCCTGGCCTCCATCTCTTTCCCTGAGATACATTTAAGTAGCTTTCAACAGAAGCTTGGCAACATACAATTTTGGCATCTAATTCAAGTACTTCAACCGACTGTAGTATTTTATGTTCTAATCAATTGGTTTCATGCTTTTTAAAGGTCCATATATATCCTGGTGTGCACTAATCTGAAAGGTATTGTGGAACAACTTAGATGTTTCCATTTGTTCAAAGATTTTAACAGGTTGATCACATCAGCAGTGAGCTGTGGGCCCGCCCCTCTTTCCTCCTTCAGAGAAATGTTACAACAACTTGCTGGTGTCTCTGGAAATAGCCGCTTGCCCCCACCGTAGCGATAAATCTTGGGTTCGCTCTATAACCCCTGATGCATTTCCCATTTTCCCACCAAATTCCACTGTCCAAATTTGGAGTCTGAACTTGACCACAAGCAGATACAATTTCACTTTGTGGGATTTTCCCAGCTTTTCCTTGCATTATGGTTGCAAAGCTTGTAACACCAGCTGTGTCTGAGCCAGCCCTCCAAAAAAGGCAATTGTGCTCCTTGATAGAATCACGAAGCAGGGCGCTGCTGCCAGCGCAGCCCCGCCAATAGCCTTTTCAGAATTCTGGAGTTGCTTCCAGCCCTCCCTCCCCACGCTGCCGGTTAATGATGTGAGCCCCTCAAACAGAGCTGAGCCCTTTAAAAGGCCTAAGAAAAGAAGGGGAAAATAATGCAGTTTTCCTTTCTCATTTTCTGGGATTCTATTTTTATTTTCCTCATCACCAAAACCCTATCATTCTTTCATTCATTTAATCAATACACATTTATACATTACTATCCGTGTCCCAGGCATTTACACCACAGGTTGGCAAGAACAAGAGCAACAAGAGAGGCTGCTATTTATGTGGCAACTCGGCCAACAACAGGGGAGCAGATGTGGGGTAATAGTAACAGCGAGACCAGCTCACAGACCCCACCCCAAATCCTTGCGGAGGGAGGACCTTCAGAAGTGGAGTTTTCGGACCTTAGAGGTACGATGTGACATGTATACATTGTCTGGCTCGCAGGCCCCAGTTATCAGATCTCGCTGGGGAAAGAGTGACAAGCAGCCACCTGTCAGTTGGGGTCAGATTTTGCCCCACATTCATTTTGACACCAAACTTTCAATTTCAGAGACGCGGAGGTTTAGGAATGGCAGATATAGGATGTGGGAGCATTAATAGTGATCATCTTTGGAGGGCTGACTGTCCCCATAGGAAACCTCCTTTGCCTGTTTTAACCCTCCAAACAGTCCTTGGAAATGAACTGTTGTTTGGTAAAAGGACTTATCTGATAAACGCCCACAAGGACCACCTTAAGGGAACCTTACATCAGGGAAGCAGACTCTGCTCTCTCTATTTTAAGGAGAGGAAGCCTCGGTTCATGGAGGTTAAGTAACTCTCATAAGGCTGTGGAACAAGGGAATGCCGGGCCGGGTTCCTCGGCTCTTGGTACCAGAAGCTAAATTGTTTCCATGATGCAAAACCGCTGCCTTTCTGGGACCCCTCCGAGTCCATGGAATGCCCTTCCTGCCTTTTTCTCTTTCAGCTCCAAACCTTTTAGCATCCCTGGGAGGCCTGCTCGACACGATGTTAAGTCCTACTCCACGGGTTTGTTCTGAGTGAAACACCCCTGTTCGGAGTCTGACCTATCGGGGCTTGAATTTCATCCCCAACATCAGCTTGGAAAGTTATTTCACATCTTTGAGAGTGTTTTCTCATCCCTGAAAAAAAAAAAAAAAACAGTTCCTAATTATTAAAGTTACTATGGAGACAGAAAGGACTGATTTGTGTAAAGTGCTTAATATGATGCCTGGAAAACAGTCAGTGCTTGACAAAGCTGTTCCTGTTGTCATTCTTACTGCTTTTGTTATCATTCTTGTAAAGATGTTCCTTGAACAGAGTCTGTGTCTTAGGTCACATACGAAGTGAATTAGATGCTGTAGCAGAGGAATTCTATTCCACTCTAAGTATCTGGCACATCCACTGTCTTTTCTAAAGAGCCGATCGCATGACCTGCAGGGCCACGAGCAAAGCTGACTGGCCCGTGAATAGGCACCTGACCCATGAACAGCCACCTCTAGGGGCTTCTGGCTCCAGAGTCAAAGTACTTGCCCCAAAGGGATAATAATGATTCTAAATCCATCAGGAAGTCTTGTTAGAGGGAGTTCGGATGAAATATGTAAAATGACAGAGCAGTGGGTCGTGGGATTTGAAGCCAAATACAGACCAGGCAGAGGCAGAACCTATGGTGCAGCAAACCCAGAATGTGTGAGACAGTAGAGGACACACATGAGGGACACAGAAGAAGCCAGAAGAGCAGTTGAGCACCAGGAGCCAGGGCGAGCAAGCCCTGCGTCAAGTCTTCAAAACACCCGTGACGGGACTTGCACCAGGACCTCTTTAACACCAGGGCTGAAGTTCTGGATCGCCACACTGGAGCCACAGGTCCTCATGCTGTCTGGGGCCAGTGAAGTATCAGAAGTGAGAGGTGGGTTCAGGGGAGACCTGTGTCAAAAGGGAGAGTGAGGAGCCTTTCAAAAGGGGGCAGCTGCGGACTCATTTTAGACAAATTTTTCTGTTGTTGGGGGAAAAGGCTGTCCTAAAGCTAATTCCACACAGGCTTTGTGGACTGCCACTCCCACCCCAGGCCAAAGCCAAAGACACTGGGAACTCCAAATCCCATCACCACCAAAGGGAAGGTGGCTGGGACTTGAGGGTGGGGTTCAGCAGCCAGGTTGGTATAAAGCCAGACACGTGGGCTTGGGGGGGTTCCCCCATTTTGGCTCTCCACCAGCTTGCAGCATCCGGCCAGCTCTGAGAGTGCCTTTGGGTTTCCAGGTCATCGGATCGGGTAGGACGCATTAAAGACTTTATTTCCCTATTTTCTCCCTGAGTTGTACATTTTCCTTATTTCCTTTTCCCTTGTAAATAAACCTTTTATGAACCTTTTGTGTGTGCCTGTAGTGGAGTATTCATAAGTCCCTTTTTTTAATTTTATTTTTATATTCCCCAAACAATTGCAACCCCTTTATTTTGACCCTAATCCCAAGTGCGCAGGTGAGGACCCACAGCCAGGCAATCCGTTCAGTATCGGGGCTTCCCTATAACACTATGTGAGAACATGAGCCCAAGATGTCAGCTCTTCTGGCTTTTCAAAGGAAGCCAGAAATCCAGAGAGCCATGGGAAAACTTCAGAGCTTTAATGCTGAGAACAAATTCCAGTTTTTCAGCACTGCCGGCAAAGATACACACACACACACACACCTTTGGATTAGATTTAGTCTACAAGCCTCTAGCTTGAAAACACTTCCTCACACTGTTGGGTGTGAGAGAAGGGAGATTATTAGTGTGATGCCCAAACTCCTTTTTCTGACCAATGGAATAGAAAAGGAGAAAGATGTGTTATCACCCCAATAAGAAAACATCCCAGAAACTACCATTTAAAGCCAAGTTCTGGGAGCAAAATCCAAAAACAATGCTTTGTTAAATGATCCAAAACATTTCATATATCCAAAGGGTAAGACGAAGAATGTTTTTGGTCCAGATGGAGTAATAGGGGCCAGACTGGCTCTCCCACCTGAAACACCTAAATAGACAACACATATACGAAGCAGCACTTTTCAAGATTTCAACATACAGTACAGAAGGACAATGAGTTCTGTGAGGTCAGGAATAAGTGAGCGAGGCTTGAGCATGCCCCAATTCGCAGCCTGGGCAGCAGACAGAGAAACCCAGAGGAGCCCTGTGGCCCCTTCTGAGTGTAGGTGAAGGAGCAGAGAGTGAGAGGACACCAAAATGGCAGCATTTGGAGGATGGAGTCCTGGGACTAGTGCAGATGTATGACAGAGACCACAGAGCCCCCTGAGTCTTCAGCTGAGAACCAACCAGTGTGTGATGTGAGGATGTGAGCTGTGAGGAGAACACTTAGAGGGCTGAGGGGGCAGAAATGAATCAGCAAAACACACATGGGGCGGGCCTCCCTGGTGGTACAGCGGTTGAGCGCTGGGTTGCGAAGCTGCCCGCAGCCTCTGCAGCGCCAGTTCAATCCCCGGCTGCCGGCGAGGGTCCCACATGGCGCGCAGACCTCTCCTGCCGCCCGCTGCTCCCCTCAGCAGTGTACTTCGTCAGTCTGCCTGCTCTGCTCCCCACTCTGGCTCTGGTGAATTCTCTCACCCTCCCGCGCTTCTGACTGTACCCAGTGCTTGTATAAATAAATAAAAATCTTAAAAAAAAAAAAAAAACACACATGGGGCGTGGAATAATTCTTTTTCCCAATAGCCAGAGTGGAAAATCTCATATTTCATGAAGAATTGGGTGAAATATTTGAAATAGTTTTGCCTCAGTAATGGGGAAAAAAATAGCCCTAGACAAAATGTTGCTCTGTCTTGCTTAAGAAAGCTTAAAGGCAAGACTCAAAAGAATCAATACATTCAATTTCAACAAATGCATACACCTGAGGAAGCACAGCCTCCATCAAGACAATGCTTGGAGCCATCACCCCCACAAAGTTTCCTCACAGCCCTCTTCAATTCCTCTCTCCCTGGCTCTCTTTGCTCCCGGCTCCCCACAATCCTCAGGCAAACCATCTGATTTCTCCTGACTAGAGGTTGGCTTGCATTGTTCAGAACTTTGTAACATGGAGTCAAAGAGTACATGCTCTTTATTTTTAATTGTCTTCTTTCCTTCAGCAACACTGTAGCCTAAGCCTGCTGTGTTCCACCAGAAATTGGAGGAAGGGGCCAGGAGAGAGAGAAAGAGCCTTTCGGTCACTCCAGCACATCAGAGATGTGGCCGGGTAAGTACAGCAGTGACTCATGCAAAGGAAATGATCATTTTACTTCCTCAAAGCTAGAAGTGACAGCATAGGATGCTCAAAAGGCCCGGAAGCCATGACATAAGGGCGCCAGGCCAGCCGTGGCTGTCCAGAAGTAAATGTAAGAGGCCAGAGCAATCCTCCAAGGAACAGGAGGGGAGAAGTCGGAACAAGGGTTTACACCAAATTAAGTGTGGAAGTGGATCCAGAAAGGCAGTGTTGTATTACTTCATACTCCATTGGACACAGATGCAGTAAGATTCCACCTCCTCTCACTGATAGTTCCATGACAACACCTAGAGAAGTGGGCTGAAAATGACTCTGAGGGGCAGAGGTTGGGAGAGTGTGCAGGCAGTGAGTCAGGGAAGCTGGAGGTCGGAGAAAGGCTGTGAGTACTGATCGCGTGCCTGTGAGAAGGGGAGAGGGGAATTGAGAGAGGAGTGAAGAAATCTTTCCCCACAGCTGTTCCCAGCTGCCGTTCCTGCCCTGAGGTATTGTCTAGCTCCACCTAGGTTTAAGTCCCTCTCCTTCTGAATCTGCCATTTCCTTTTCTGGGGGAGGGGCTGACCTCTCTTGGCTGTTCTTTTTTCTCGGCCATTCTAGGAGAGTTTGCTCTCACTAAGAGCAAGGCAACTGCTTGAGGCTGTTCTGCCTCCAAGCAAAGCTTCCCATTTTCTTGCTAGTTCACCTGGGTGGGCCTCAGGTGCTGTACACTGCACATTCTTATCTCCCCAAAATTCACACATGGAAGCCCTAACCCCCAATGGGACTACCTGTAGTGATGGGAGCTTGGGAGGGTATTTACATGGGGTCATGAGGGTGGAGCAGGGCATGGGGATTAGTGTCTCTAGGGAGAGACCCAGAGCTCTGCCTACCTCCTGAGACAACAGCGGGTCTGTTCCTTGAGCTTCCAGTCTGACATTCTGTGATAGCAGCCCGAGCTGACTGAGACACAAGCGTACACTAAACTAGATGGTCTAAACTTGACCAGAAGATAAATACAACTTCCGTCATCCAGCTGTGATGTTCCTGAAAGCAGATATCTTAGAAAACCTGGGACCTGATGGATTTTAAAAATCAGGAATTTAATCGATTCACATTTCAAAATTACCAGTTACTTTCCATGTTTACTTCTGAAATGTATGAATTCCTCTCCGTATAGAGTCAGTAAGCACTTTTGCAAGCATAAGAAAAATTGCTTTTGACCTTTGGGGAATGCAATTTAGGGTTTATTGTTTGGAAAGCCCCAGGTAAATAATGATTATACAGTAATAAATTGTGTAATTGCATTTAATCTGTGCCCGGAGGCAAGGAAGCTCTGCAAATCAGTACCTTCCAAATGGAAGACTCTGGTTCTGAGAGCAGCAGAGAGCAGCCAGGGTGAGGACAGCCAGGGCTGCAGCGAGCATTGCTTGTGAGTGATCTTAAGAATGTTCCTAACTGCACAGAAGGGTCAGGTTTGGTCCAGTTTCAATCATTGACATTCAAGTGTTGAGGAAGACCAGGACAAATTATCAGAGTCATGCAAAAGAGGCCTGAGGATAGAAGCCCCAAGGCTTTTGAATTGTTTCATTTAGGGAACAGAAGGCTAAGGGGTGACTTTGGGAATGCATTCCCCAAATCGGCTAAAAGAATGGGTTGAAAAATCCATAGATTAAGAAAAAGGAGGTAATTAGTTGAGGTTCTATTTTGAACCAGTTGCAGGTGTGACCTTGAATGAGGGGTTTGCCCTTTTCTGGGCTGGGTAAAGGAAAAAGCAATCAAGATGTGAGCACCAGAGGCAAATCACCTGGACCTCCATCCCCGCTCTGGCAGATTCCTGCTCCCTGACCTTCGTTTCTTTGTGATATGGGTCCAGTCATATTACCCGCCGAAGAGGTTGTATAAAAATTAATGAGAGGACACATAGGGGATCCTGTGCTGATAATAATATAATAGTAATAATATCTCATTTCTGTCATAAATGAGGTCTTCAGCATAGATGAGTTGTTTGGAAAACTGAAGCATTATCTTTTTTTAGCAATAATTTTTATATTTTCATGAAAATCTTTCCATAACACTTTCCACATACTGAAACAGAATGTAAGGTAAAGAACATATAATTTGGCATAAGAAAATATGAGGCTTTGGCCTGGCTTCATTTAGTCACTAGGGGACCTAAGGAAACCATTGGGTGTCTCTGAGCAGAGATTTGTTGGCATACTTTATGTGCATGTCACAAAATATACTGACCAAATACATGTTTTTTGCAAACTTATTGGCCAAAAATAAATCATTGTTTATTTTTCTTGAGGTTTCAAGGCCATTGTCAGGAACCTGGATTGTTACACCATAACGTGATCCAGTTTTCCCCCATCAGGGTAAATGCAAAATGTGTGCTGGGTTCATATCCCAGGATCATCATCCTCTTGTGAAACCAGAAGTCTGCAGCATGGACTCGATGTTTTCCCTAAACTCACTGCCCAGGAAATATTTGTTAAATAGATAAATTAATCATGCTTTTCTGAGACAAGTGACTTTAGACTTTTATTTGAAAGAAAAACATTGCATACTAATTACAAATAAACATAAGACATATGAGAGCTGTATAAAGAAGTGTCTTTGTCAGTTCTGACTGCAAGAGTAAAATACCATAGATTGGGTGGCTTAAGCAACAGAAATTGATTTCCCACAGTTTTGGAGACTGAAAGTC